AAAAGTGATTTTCTGTATAAAATATGGCGAGTTGAAAACATAAGCTGGAACAGGGCCATTTTTCGGCATTTTAGGCTCATCAAACGGGATTGAGGTAAGTCTAAATCGATTCCTCGTCCAAAATTACATGGAAATAGACTCATACCAGGCCACCATAGGTGAGTTTTCTATGCCATAAGTGTGATTTTGTATGCGGATTTTGACCATTCGCTTGTTTTATGGAGAAATGTCGATTTCAGATCAAATTTATAGGTAAACCGATGTTGAAATGTTCATATTTTCATGTATTTTGACGAAAAAATAGCAGTTTTTACAGATCAAAATTTCATAAGAAGCCATTTTCGACCATTTTTCTCATAAAAACGGTGAAAAATGATATATGATTCACTTGCCGAGGCCAAATACACGAACTGAATGGGGGTTATACACGAAATTTTATTTTTCCATCTGAAGCGGCGCGACATGAGCGTAAAAAAACGCAAAAAAAAACATGTCAAAAAAACCCCACTCTTTTGAGATATTTCACTTTTAGTACTTTGACTCCATTTTTGGAGGCCCCAATGGGGTCAATGTGGGTAGGTGACTTCGTAATTTTTGTAGCCCCATCAATTATCTTTCCAACGGTACCAATGGTTTGGTAATGTGTCAACTACTTCTTGGTTAGTTTTCAGTTGGCGCAAACCCTTTTTTTCGATTTTTTCAATTTTTTGCAAAATTTACACTGGGTGAACTCAGAAATGTAGGCCACTTACAGGCCTAAGATTTTGGTTTTCTCATTTTCTACCGAAAACAAGACTCCAAGCAAATTTTCAGCCAATTCGGAGAGGGTCGATCCAATTCTTGGTCGATTTCGTGTGGAATCGTCGATAGCTATAATATCTAGCTTTGTACTATTTTGATTCGTTACTTTGTATTTAATGGGTTTTTGACACGTTTTCAATCCCAGACACGGTTCATTATAATTGATGAAAATAATTGAATGAAATGGGCCTCCAACATATCTCCACTCAATCGATTATATCACAGGACACCTCTCATTGATATTTTCAAAGTTTGAATTTACTTCAAAACAACCCTTGAATACGTGTTGTTGATCCAATTCACAAAGTTTCAAATCAATTGAATTGAACTCTTTTGTATGTGTTTGTCTCAAAATGATTCCAAGTATGGGTGAATTATCCGATTGATAAGTTGAAATTGTTTATTCGTATTCAATTCGATCGAATTACTATGCTAGAGACCTTCAGTTGACTATGTGAATAATTTATGGAGAAGTAAACACGTATCGAATACAAATAAAAAGTAGAAAAAATATTGGATAGAAATGCATTTCGTTCATTGCATCACATTAACTGCGCCATTTCCCTTGGTTAGCTTTGAACAATTGGACACTTTTTTAAAGGAATAAACCAATCATGGTTCAAAATATTATTCAGACGATTCAAATATTTTTCTATAGATGCTTTTATTTAGTTAATAGATATTATCGAAATGCATTGTCTGCAAATCAACACTAAATCAATCAAAATTTCTCTTGATTTTATTTTATGGTTCATGATCAATGATCATCAATGAAAATGCGACGAACAAGTGGAATTTTTTCCCCTTCAATTTGAAACTATAACTAATAAAACTGTCGAAACTTTTTCGCATGCTTTGCAAAAGTGATTGTTGAGATAAAAAAATAAAACACTCTATTTATAGTGATACAATGTATTCTTTTCATATTGTTGTATACAATACATTGTTGTAGCTGACTGATATTATCAAAATACATTATTTGATATAGTTGATTTAACATACGCCGTGCAAATAATTACAGGTGTTAGTTTGTCAGATAGAGAAATAATCAACTTGCATATCATAACTTAAATAATAATTGGGTATTAGATTACACACCAAACAAGAGAGATATTCAAATCACAACCGATGACAGCAGACGTGAGTGATGAAAGAATCCTGGTGCTGAAGGTTTAACATTGCCCCTATATATTATATCAATCATGTTTAGTTATTCTCTTAGCCAGCTGACTAATTTCAGACATTTTGATTAAAGTGAAAATCAATTCTTTTGGGGGAAGCGAACATGAATCTAATGTGAGCAATCATTTCGGAATGATTCAAATTTTTGTTGCATACTTTTAACTAACTTTTTTATCGTTACGCAATGATTTCTCAAATTGAACAAGGATATATGTGTGTTTGCTTTCGGCACGAGATTTGACTTTGACGTTTTTTTTTTCTCATTTGATACAACAAAGAGATTGTTTACAATCAAATAACACTGATAATAACATAGATAACGCAACAAAAAACAAAGAGAAAATACATTTCATTATTAACTATAATTCTGGAACATTTCATAAATCGTGAGGGTTCTATAGCAAGTATTTTTGTATAAATAGGCCAAGTTCATGAATAAACAAGTCAGTTTGGATTTATCCAGTTTATAAACAAGTTAGTTTTGGTTCACACATATCTTTGCATAGTATATTAGTGACTTGAGCAAATATTTTGTTGGACAATTTTTTTTAAAATTTGATAGAATATTTTCCGTTTGAGGAATTGCCTGAAAAGATTTCAAAACCGTCAGAATATTTGCTTAGATCACTGTTTTTTTTTAAATACATGAGTATTAATTATTTTAAAAATATCATTTGCAATTTAAGAAAGTACACAATGCTAGGATATAAATCAGACTCGAATTTAAATCATATTACATGCTTTACCATATAAACCCAAATTTGATATATCCGCGTGTAATTTCTCAGTATCCATTTATATTATTCATTTATTCTTTTGTTTGTACGGATGGTTTTAGTTAAAAACCGACGAATCGCCAAGAGACTCATCACATTGTCAACTCCACTTGAAATAGACAGTTGAAATTAGACGAACAAAAACTAAAATGAAAGTCATCATCTTCGCAATTTTGCTTGCTGTAGTTTGCGCTGTTACCCTTACTGTAGCCTGTCCAACAGACGGTACCGTCGGCGGAGATGCTACGAATACTACTCGAGGCGGAGCAGATATTGTGGAAACACGTGAGTGATATTCAACTAAGTTTCAATTTCAATTTCAATTGAATTTCAACATGAAATAACCATTCCTTAATTTTACAGCTTTGTCTTCTGAGCAACAGCAGAAATTTCAAAATATTTCTGAAGGAGCCCAACAATATAATCGCTGTAAGTTTTAAAAATGACAATTGCTTCTTTGATGAATTGAAGAACCCAATAACATTGAACCAAATTTTCGTGTATTTTTCTTAGAAACCTGTGAATAATGCTTTAATTTCGTAAGACCTTTGCGATGCTCCCAATACTTGAACATCTTGATAGCAAACTGGAATTATTAAATTAAATGTGAAGTAAATGTTAGAGTTTTGCAGAATTGCAATGGAAAATCCAATTTTGACGCACAGTTTACTGAATTTCTTTTATCGCACAGAATTGTACACGTTTTTATGCAACATTTTTATTGAAATCTATTGAAATAAAAGAAAGCATACATGCACAAAAACTCTAAATCATACTTTTATTTTACTACTTCCATTTAAAAATACAATAGTACTTCCTAGATCTGTAAGCTCTTGAAATGACCAATGTATTCAATAACATGAACGAAACTCGTTTAAAAATGTACAAAAAGTTCAAGAATGACGCTGAAATAACTTAGGTTCTTTTAGCAAGTAAAAGTGTTAAAAAGTAGGTTCGATAATGTAATTTTTTTACCAGCTCTAATAAGTAATAATTTCCAATTATGCTCCATAATTGGACACTGTCGTGTGCTTCAAATCCAAAAGCTGGGTGTCATTCGTAGCAATATTATAATTTTAAACGTGTAGTATTTTATGTGGCAATCATTTACAAAAATAGGCAAAAACACAAAGGAAACTGATCATCTCCCGTGTGGAAAAAAATGACTGACTGACTTCAGATTCAGTTGACTGAATAGTTGATTGAATTTATGATTTTGTATGAAGAAAATCACTTTGTCCCAAAATAAGCAATTTATTTTGACTTGTAACTTTAAACGATTTCAATTAACTTTGATAGACTTACACTACACGTTATACTGAAATGTCAATCAAAGTAAGTTATTTTTGTCCGAAATTAGTTAACTGACTGGTCAGTTACAATATTTGCACACGGGCTGTAATCCGAATGAATAAATTTTAGCGGTTTAATCGATTCATGATACATCTTTATTTAATGACGGTATACGAGAAACAAACTCAAACCACCACACGCACAGTGCTATTGCAGACTAACGCTCAACTATAATTGTACTGAGCTCGTGGACTTTCGTGGACAGCATTCTAAATTCATTATTCAAAACACATATGGACGAGCGATAGGTTTCCTTCAATAATATCTCTAACTTTCTTTGTTGATTCAGGCGATAAAGCTGTGAAAAGATAGAAGAATATAATTTTACATTAAAATGCAATCGAAAATAAAACTAATTGCATAATACTTACGTTGTTCAAGTTCGTTTAATAAGTTGCAAGTACCAGCTGGAACATCTCCGCCGGTGGCACCATTCGGTCGAGGAAAAGCAACATAACAGGCTAGAGCGAATAATATAGCGAAAATGCAGAATTTCATTTTAGATTTGTTTTTATCTTCTTTCAACTGACTTTTTCAAACGAAGCTGACAATTTGTTAAATTTCTTGGCGATAATATAACAAAGTTTCGTTGGCCTTCTTCAGTTAGCAAAAAACATCCATACGAACAAGATGTAGATCCATTGTAGATGATATTTTTTCAAATAAATTTTCATAGACAACACTCACCTCAGCAAATATTCTGAACTGTATTTCTTTATTATCGTAAACCATCCAAATTGTAACAATTGAACAAATAGACTAATTTTCTGCAAAACTTTGAAGGGTAACTGTTGTTTTTTATATCATATTTGAGAAGATAACGAAAAAAACTTCCGATATGAATATATGACTTATTTGTATTTTTTCAGAAAAGAAAAAGAGAAATAGATAAAATATCCAATTTGACAAAATCAAAGGGTTAATAAGGGGTATTGGAATACACATTTAAATTTCAAACACAATAATAATAATCTAGGGGCGAGACACGAATTCTATTAGAGTCTAGTTACATTCAATTTTATATATTTTTTGCTTTATGTCCTCTAATTTTTCTAGTTTTGGTGCAAAAGTGCTAATATTGTGCTATTATTTCTAGTAAAATCGCTTGCAGAGCGTATTACACTGTCAATACAACGCTTATGGAAGACCTAACGTGACTATTTTGTAAACAATAAACAATACGTCCATAAGCGTTAACATTGGCAAACCAAACTCACTAATTTCTCCTATTTTTCCTATTATCGTTGAATAATGTTCTAATTTTACTCATTTAAGCTTCGTGTCTCCCCCCTAGATAATAATGAATAGTTCTGCATTGGATTTAACCAAAATAACAAACGACCGATATGCAAAACATTTACATATTGTCTGTGGTTACGGTCCATACTTACAAAGCTTACCGACGTGTATCCAAATCGCATGTTTAGTACTGGAAAGTTGCCCAGTTTCAAATGGGAAAGTTGCCCAGTTTCAACTATTAATTGTGCAAATGTGTTTGAGTGGAATTTTCAATGGAAAGAAATTAAAATGGCTACATTTTCTTCAAACATGAAAAAAAACAATTTCTCATTGATTGACTCTGAACACGGCATTAATTCCCTGGTTGAATTTTATAGTCAATTATTGCTTTTTCTTTTTATGCATTTTCGTTTTATGTTTCTATTTATTCAATGTTTAATAAACATTTTCCAAATTATCAACCTTAATCTAAAATGATCTTTTCTCTCTGGCTTTTAAACTTTCTGTCCTTTGTTGAATCAAAACTCTTATTTGTTTTTGATTTTGTCCATCTGCATTGCTGGCTCGGCAAAGGTAGATTCCTTCGTGGCGTCGGCCCACACGGTATTTTTGGATGATTGCATAGTATTCTGTAGTTGAATTCCGTGCATTTGGCAGAGCCACTTGATTTCCACGTACTCTAGGCCCAAACCATTGTACGATCGACGGTTCCTTACCATTAGCCATACAAAGCAACTCCAATTTTTCGCCTTCAATCAATGTTATTTCTGGTGTATTTGGCAAAATGGTAACATTCAAATTTGGATGTTGAACATTAATCGAAGTGGATTTCCTTGTTTCACCAATAATATTACTGGCCTGGCATTCATATTCACCAGCTTCAGCAACAGTAACGTTGGCAATTAAAATTGTACCGATCGATTTCTCTTCGATATGGCGAGAGAGTAGGGCACCATCACGACGAGCCCACACCAAAATTGGAGC